GAGGAGTGGGGCGGCATGGTGGGGTCAGAGACCTCGCTTCAGAGGGCCTTTTCGAGGAGGAGGAGGGTTTGAGTGATGGGTGTGACACTGACAGGGCCTGCGCTTTCTGAATTTGGGGGTTGCCCTCCCTGCGTGGATGGAGAAAGGACATGGGAAGTTCAGTTTCTCTTTCCAAGGCAAGATCAGCTAAAGTAGCTGGGGGGTGAGGAGGGGGAGGGTGGTGTCAGTTCGCCCAGGGCTGTGGTGCACGGAGGGACCGCCTGATCCCTGAGGCAGAAAAAGCAATTTATAGTGTAGAGTAGTGCAAATTGTGCACCAGGGACATCTGGCATGCCATACATCAGGTGCCGTGTATAGACTGGAATGATGTCAGCAAGGATAACTCATCAGCTGTCCCCCCAGACAGTGACTGTTGCCAGCTGAACAAACCCAGCTGTGTTTGCTGGTGTTGAAAAGAAGTTAACATGCAGAGAAAACCCTCATGGGCAAATTTAAACTTTCTTGCTTTATAAAACTATCTTAATGCACAGGGACAAAAAAACCTTGAAGATTACAGAGGTCTCAATGTGGTTGAAATGTGCTGGCAGTGCTCGACATTGCCCGTTGTTGTGGTAGGGAGTGCTGGAGCCGGGTGACTGTGAGTCACAGTTAATGATGGAAGTACGGTTTCCCTTGGGCTATGGGCCATTGAGAAAGACCTTCAAGGGAGGGGTGAGTATGTGCTCGTCATAGGATGGAATTGCTGTGGAGGTGGCGGGGTGAGATATTTTAATGTCAAAGGTAAATACTCCAAGTGAGTAACTGAGGAAGTTATAGCAGCCTTTCACCTTACAGCAGCCTTACAGTACCTAGAAGGGGCTACAAGAAGGCTGAGGAGGGACTCTTTACAAGGGCATGGAGTGATAGGACAAGGGGCAATGGCCTTAAACTGAAAGAAGGTAGATTTAGATTAGATATAGGGAAGAAATTCTTCACTGTGAGAGTGGTGAGGCACTGGAGCAGGTTGCCCAGAGAAGCTGTGGATGCCCCATCCCTGGAAGTGTTCAAGGCCGGGTGGGACGGGGCTTTGAGCAGCCTGGTCTGGTGGGAGGTGTCCCTGCCCATGGCAGGGGTTGGAACTAGATGGTCTTTAAGATCCTTTCTAACACAAACCGTTCTATGATTCCATGAAGTTATTTCAGAATAAACTGCTCTGAAATGCTGTTTCAGTGCAACCGCTGTAAATAGGTGATGTACGTTTTACCTGATTGTTCTGGTTTCTGACCTGAAGTATACTTGAATGAACAACCTAAAGGTGTTTTCCTGTTTGGTAAATTACCTAATCTGTGGCTCAGTGCAATACACTTACTGTTCTGAAAGGGATGATGACCTAGGTTTTGAAGCAAAGAAATATAAATACAGGCAGCAATTTTAGTGTTACTGGTAGCTTCCTTAACAGATATCCTAGATGTATAGGCACAGCTGTTACCTCTTTGTAGCCTGCTTGTGATGTTTATAGGACAGGATAACAAATACATCAACAGACTTTCTAGTGTCTTCAGGTTGCTATCAGAGCTCTAAGATGCATGGCTGGACTTTAAAGGGGAAAGAAAAAACAAACCAGTTCTGGAATAATTTATATACTTGAAATATTAAAGAAACCTCAAGTACCTCATAATGTTTAGCTTTATGTGCTTCCACTTAACTGTTAAGCATCTTAGTACTTGCTGCATCTTCCTCTTGGGATGTGGCATGAAAGCAGCCTATGAAACTTTGTACTTCCATTTTGTTTGAGAAAGACTGATGTTATTTGGAAGCTTTCATCAACAATATTTTAGGAGTATGGTTTTTTAATTCTTATTTTTATGGCACATACTTTATTCTCTGTCAGTAACAGTTTAATGCAGTCATTCTAAGTCACTATGAGGTTTATTCTGCTGTCTTCTTGGAGCTTTTGGCTTAAGCAGGACTTGAACTTTTTAAAAAGAAAAGTGTCTCTTGCTGACTTAAGTATTCTTTCCCCAAAAGTCAGATGATGGAGCTGTCGGGGACCCTGGAATCGCTCACATGACCCAGGGCTGGCAGGCTGCTCTGTAAAGGAGCTGCATGAGCAATTTAAACCCGAGCTCATGCTGTGGCTTGAAAGGCAGCCCTGCCTCCTGGTTTGTACCTGGCATGGTCAGCCAAGCCAGTTCGCTGTTACACTGTTAATTTGTCTTACTGTTCTTAAGTGGCTTTTTTTTTTTTTTTTTGGATGGGGAAGTTCCAGGCAGGCCAGTAAACTGCACTTCCATTTCACTGAGAGTCGAGGACTCTGGGTGTGTGAGTGAAAGTAGCTGGCACGGTAGGGCTTTCAGTTCCTCTTGAGGGATGTTTGATTTGTTGTATTTATCAGTCTGAAGTAGGTTTCATGTTAAACGGAGCCAGTTTGGGATCTGAGCGTGTTTTTTATGGCCTTACATTTTTAGAAGCCAGATAAGTGGCATTATAATTGTAAAGCAGCTTGGTGGGTCTCCTTATTATGTGAATTTCAAGGGCTTGCTTAAATAGCGTTTTCCAAGTTTTAATATCACTAACGAGGAAACAGAGTGTATGCTAGTGAAGTGCTAGGTTTGGTAGCACTTCAAACAGGATAGCAAAATACTATGATGAAAGGATTGATCCTGTTCTTGAACCCTTAACTTGCGCTGCAGAACACCTGTTTAATTTAAAGTTTGCTGCAAAGGAGCTCAACAGGAACTCAAAAAAATGCGACAAAGAAGAAAAGGCTGAGAAAGCTAAAATTAAGAAGGTAAGCAGCGAGTCGGAGACAAGTTCTTTAGATTTGTTGTTTACATATTATAGCAGGAAAATACCTGGTGTTTTTACCATTTTCCTGGTATGCGTGCTAACAATACTGTGGTGAATGCTTGTGATTTAAAATATGAGACTATAAATCTGCCCATACTTATTAATACATGTGAGGATACGTTCTTGTGTAACCTCTTGTACAGCTTGTGGCGTTTACTTCCTGAGAAGATTGTCTTGTATGTATTTTGTTAGAGACTGTTGTTCTCAAAGTTAAAAATATTTAACCTTACTGTTTATCATCTTGTATTAACAGGGCTTATGAAAAGGAACTTCAAAATAGTTTTTGAGTCCTTGAAGTAGTAAAGAGAGAGACTAAATTTGTTTAGCTGTATTTTTGTCCATGAGATTCAACCAACTGTATCTGTGTTTGGGTCTTGATACTGAAAACATCTTTAGGAATGAGAAAATTATGTTTCTGTAGCTCTGTAAAACTGCCTACTTGAAGCACATGCTAGATACCTTCCTTGGCAAAAAGTTAGGGTTCACATCCTGTAAAAGTTTGAGAATGTGGTGGGAGGAGGGAGGTTTTATTTTCTCTTTTAATAGAAAAGATATTGTGATGAATTGATGCTTATTTCAAAAATGAAATAGGTTATTCAGAAACGTTTACAAGAGCAGGGAAGGTTAAAATGCTTTTTCTTTTTTTTTCCTTTTTTCAACAGGCAATTCAGAAGGGTAACATGGAAGTCGCGCGAATACATGCAGAAAATGCAATCCGCCAAAAGAATCAAGCCATTAATTTCTTGCGTATGAGTGCCAGGGTAGATGCTGTAGCAGCAAGAGTTCAGACTGCAGTGACAATGGGCAAGGTAAGTCTGTTTTCACAAATCTGTTGCAAGAGTGAGACCTCTGATCTTCTTATAGGTAACTTAATTCTATCTCTAATGAGCTGAAAAGTTTCAGTTTTGGTTTCAGATGTAGCCAGTAGTAAATCAGGTACCGGAATCTCCCTGGCAGCTGCTCTTTAGAAACAGATTGCTATCCACTATATTTTGTATTATTTTAAGGGACACTACTGTACTGCTCTTCAGCCAGAGAGTTTATTCTGCCATGTGGTTTGTATACCAAATATATCCCTTAATATTTGACAGGTCTTGAGAGCCACTAAAGTTAATGCCATATACACCTCAGTTTTTAGTGAGTTTCAGCTAAGAATGCTATTTCAAGTGGTTGAGTTAATTTATAGAATTTGAAACAGCAGGAGCTTTAGGAAAAAGTGGTGTTCTAGATAGCAATAGTGTGTGCCCTACTATATGATACTGTAGAAACTCTGGGGATAGAAATAAGAGAGCTTGGTAAGAAACTGCTCATTTTTCTTTCTTTGTAATAATTTCCTTTACCTCATTTCAGGTGACAAAGTCAATGGCAGGGGTAGTTAAGTCTATGGATGCCACGCTGAAGAGCATGAACTTGGAAAAGGTAAATAGACTTACTTTTCTCAGACCTGCACATCAAAAGCAGAGAGGGCAACGGACACACGTTTTAAAAAAGGAAATTCCAATCGAGAGAAAAGTTTTGCAGTGAGGTTGGTAAATCCTGGAACAGATTGCCCAGTGTGGTTGTGAAGTCCTCATAAATGGGGATGCTCAGAACTTGACCAGACAGGGCCCTGGCCAACCTGCTTGAACTGCAGTGTTAAATCAACTTCAGAGTTGACGCTGGGAGGGGAAGGGGACGAGCTTCTGATCTCCAGAAGCTGCTTGCTCTTGTAGTGTGATTCTGGTTTTGCCAGTTGAGAGAGATTTCTCCTCTGTTATCTGCAAATCATTGATTTGATTCACTTTTTTTTATAGATATCTGCACTAATGGATAAATTTGAGCATCAGTTTGAAACGCTAGATGTTCAGACACAACAGATGGAAGACACAATGAGCAACACTACTACGCTGACAACGCCACAAGTAAGAATAGTAATTTTTTTTAAAAAAAAAGCTGATCTTAAATTACGTGTCTAAACTGCATGGAGATGTCTGATTCTCTTCTTTCTGCCTACTTTGAGACATGGCAGCAACTGGAGCCTTTTCACTTTTACTCTGTGCTTCTTTGTGTTGAAGAGACTATTTCAAATTGTAGTCACAAGTATAGAGGATCACATATATGTATTTTAGTCTTTCACTCTTATAACACGCTTTTTTTTATACTGTGTCTCGAAAACTTTGACCCTTCTACTGAATAAGCAGCGTTTTGATGAGTTCATTAAGAACTTCTGAACCAGAAGGCACTGCAGCATTAATTATCAAAGCAGAATATGCAGTGAGAAAATCAATAGTTCTTACTCACTGATATTAACAAAATGACATTATTCACCACCAAATTAGTAGTAGTATATGCAACGGAAAGGTGATTGATTACCTACTTTCAGTTTATGGACATATATTTACTAAAATACCTCTTTAAACAATGCTTGACGTAGTTAAGAATTCCTAGCAACTATCCCCTTGTGCTATTCCACAAGGAACTAAACATGCTATTCCAACAGAAGTTTTGTCAGAGAGAGAAATTTACTGGAGATAGTGCTTTGTAAGTAAAATAAGCCGACAAACCTAAACCCAAATCCAATAAACCAAATCTGTTGGAGGTGGGCTTTTTTCCATGTTGTGCAAAGAAATGTTTTAGTAGCTAATAATCAACACTTGAGATATTCAAGTGTGTGTTCGGATTTTTTTACAGGTAAGTTTAATTCTTTAGCAGCATTATTTCAGAAGCGAGAGTTAAATTAATGGGATTTTAACAGACTGAGCATCTCTACTCATTATTTTTGTGTTCATACAAGGCCTTCTGGTGGTTAAGCACAAAAATGTTCTGTAAGAGGCATTTACCTTTAAATCAGTTTTGCTAAAATAGTATCTGTTGTCTTACGATTTAACAGAAGAGATTCTCCTAAACTACAATATGCAACAATAAATTTTTTTTTCTTTACTCTAGAACCAAGTGGATATGCTTCTACAGGAAATGGCAGATGAAGCAGGGTAGGTAAAATTTTGAGTGACTATTTCTTGAATAAATCTTGGTTCCAACAACCCTTCCTAGTTAACTTGAAGGTCAGATACTCTTGTTTTGTATGTCTGTCTCTTGGAAGCAGAGAAGAATGACCATTTTCCTTTCACCTCCAGACATCATTCTCATAATGGTTTAGTTACCAGTATTTCATTCTGTTATCACTCAAAGCTACTGTGAATGTCAGGATGCAGGGGTGGTTGTGTAAGCCTAAAATCATATGTCACTTGTCTTGTCAGGATAGCGTTTTATTATTTACTTGGATTTGCTTTAGCATTAGCAATCCTTGCCATGTTTCTCCACACTTTTCCTCTTTTTTTTTTCCCCTCTTACCACATTAAAACTACCTGTTGTCCTGCTCTCACAAGCTAGACGTTGCAAAACAGGTTGTCATGACATATTTAAGCCTTTGGGGATAAACTGAAATATTTCAGATAATGTTAGTTGCCTTCTTAGTGACACATAAGTTGGAAGTGTCGCTCTGTTGGCCTGAGGATAAGTACTTTTGACATTTTTTAATAAAACTTTTTTTTGATGAGTGAACTTCTTGTCATTCGTAGGTATGCCATGTCTGATACATCTCTCTTAAACAGCAGTCTTGCTGCCCTGTCCTGATTAAGCAGAATTCATTTAGCTATTGCTGGTTATAATATATGACTTGTCTTCTTGGTAATGAGTCAAATTTACTGGTCAGGTTGTCTAGGTAGCTGGAGTACGGCATTCATGGGATGCTGGTGACTTGATGCTATCTCGGTATTCCTCTGCTTGTTAATTACTGTTCTTCTTTTTTTAGCCATGTATGCCTGACTCGTTTTGTTTTCTCCTATTAGTCTTGATCTGAACATGGAACTACCTCAAGGACAGACAGGTTCTGTTGGTACAAGCGTTGCCTCGGCAGAGCAGGTAAACGTTAGATTCAATTGACATCAATGTTTTCTAGAGAAATGTGGTATGAAAATTAATGCTTCACTCGGTCAAAACAGGCTTGCTAAATTGTAAGTAGATTTTAGCTGTCCAGAAGAAATAGTGCATAGTTAAAACAGTCTTGCAATCAAAATAATTTTAACAGTACATTTGTCTACTTACTAAATCCGGAAAGTTTAGATGTTTCAGGTGTGTTTTTGCATGGTTATTTCACAGAGTTCCAAACAGTTGACTCTTGTACCAACTCCAAATTTAATGAACCCAACCACCTCTCATAGCATACACGAGGCCTTTGGGGTTTTTTTTTCCCCCTTTAATGTGTGAAAGGTCTTACGGGACTAGTGCAAAGGATTCCACGTTTGCCTCTAGATGAATAGCTTAGAATTTCTTGTGCATGAGCAGATCCTGGTGTCAAGGTTGCACAGATCTTTTGGTGAGTTGCTTTTCCCTTTCTAGGGGAATATATTTGAGGGAATGGAAACAGAACCGTTTATTTCTGTCATCCCATCCTTTTGGAAAAGGCTTTAGGGAGCCTCATCTTAACTGACTGATATTTGGGAAGCCCCAAATATTCCACATTCTTTGAAAAGTTCAATTTCACCTTGTACCAGGCCCCCTAAAACAGTCTACAGACCTACTGCCGTCTCGCAGTAGCAGTTCAGCTGGGTATCAGCCTTGTTCAGTCAAGGCTGAACTCAAATAAGGATGCAATTCTCCAAGAGCTGATTTGCACTTGCAAAGATGATACATTTAAAAAAAAAAACCACAACAAAACAACACAAAACCCAACACAAAACCAACCAACCCTCTGTCTAGTTGCTGTGTTCTGAAACTCCTTCCTAGGTATCCATTGCTGGAGATCTGATAGCTGTATGGACCTCTGGTCTCACCTGGTGCAGCTCTTCTGGAGGCCTTAAGCAAATCTTGTTAAGACTTGTACATGAGATCATTTCCTATCATCTGGACATGAGATTGCTTGACCATTGCAGAACTTTGCAATAATTAATTTTCATATTACTGATAGCTGGTTTCTTTGTGTTTTACAATTCTGCAGGATGAGCTGTCACAGAGACTGGCCCGCCTACGTGATCAAGTTTAAGTTAAATAAAGCTGCAGTTCTTTGTACATGCTTTCAAAATAGCCTTTCCGTAACTAACTCTTCACTACACTAGAGAGGTGTTTACAGTATGGCTTATGTGTTTGAATATTTGTAATATAGGATACTTCACTCCTAGCTTGCTACTCTTTCTAAAATACATTAAGTAACCCCAAAATATCAGCTCTCTAATGTCCTTTTCTGTACATTTTGAGGTTGATATATTTTTTGCAAGCTTTTTTCACAGAATCAAGTTGATATTCTAAGTCAGCTAGTAATGTTGGTACATTCTAGCTAAAAGAAAAGCAGGGTGTCATTGATATATATTTTAAATTAAGTGATTTTTTTAAATTATTAGACCTGTTTATGATTGGAGAACTGATGTATTCAGTTCAGATGATTGTTGTAGATAACTTTCTTACACAGCCAAACTCCTGGAACACGCAAATGTGGACAGCGTGGACTTCATGGAAAATAATGCTTATTAAAGCAAATAAGTGGAAAGTGGACTTCAGTCTGAGTTTTTTAGTCTCTTAAAGCTAGAGTAATTGTGCTGAAATTAGTGGTTTAGTTCAAAAATGAGTTACCAAAAGCTGTTTTCATATAATTGGGAACTTGTACGGTGTCCTCACTTTAGTACAGGAGGAATAAAGTATATTTTTCAACTCTTTGTCAGTTCTGTTGAATGTTGCAGCTTGCTCGTTGTTTAATGTCAAGTACTGTAGCTTCTCCATTTTGCTTTCTTCTTGGTATCCTGGGGTGCAGCCAGTTCTGCCACTCACACTTCTGTTCTACCAACATAACATCTAGTTCCTGTTAACAGGAACTCATGCTATCCATTTTTATAGATTCAAGCTGAGAAGACTTATATGAAGTAACTGAAGCCTGCTTTTCTCTTTTCTTATTCTACCTTTGCTTTTAATGTAGTCGCTTTTTTGATACATAAGGACAAGTCTTGTGATCACATTCCATGCTGCGGTGTTCTTCCATATATGACAAATACAGAAGTGCTCTTCCTCAGGTTCAGATCTTCACAGTCCTCCTTCGTAAGTCAGAGTCCCAACCCTGTCTTCTCTATCCAAGGCACTCCCTTAGATCAGCTTTTCCTCCTCTGCACCTCGCAGCAGGTGAGAAGTGGGTGAGTAGCATAGGCCAGCTCGGTCAAAGGGGGTTATGTTGGATTAACAACAGCTACTTTATTTTTTTAAGGTATAATATGGCTCTCTACAGGTAAAGTGACATTAATTTTACTGTTGCAGTTGTATGGAGAAGCTGGTTTAGTTTAGTGATCCCTCTATATTTCTGCCCAGTAAGAGAAACTACTGGGTGCTTTCAGTAGCTTCAAACTCTTGCTGCAGTTGTGAAGTGAAGAAATGGTTGTAGAAATTCATAGCTGAGACTACTTGTGGTGTGTTGTGATAAACAGTGATGTTAAAATTATGTTTCTGACTTTTAGGGCTCATTTTTTTTTGTTTTGTCTTCATAGGGGTGAGGGAAGGTGTGAAGCACTAGGCTTGGAAGTAGTTCTTAATTTGCTGGTGTTGAGGATCGCATGGGTTTTCCAATGTTGGGGAAATATTTAAGAAAAAAAAAAACTTTGCTTTTTTTAGTCAAACGTGGTTTCTTCAGTGAAATCATGCAAAAATGATGAAACATTTCAGAGCAGTTTCAAACTATATTGCAAATGTGTTACTCAAATCACATTGAAGGTTTAGCAGGATGTTACATACTGAAGTATTCAAGGATACTGTGAAAATAAGGTAGACAAAACAGCCTAAAATGTTGTGGAACTGTGTGTCTCACACTGGCAGCCTAAACTAAACCAATTTGTTTAAAATGCGGTCTTTTCGCTTACTTACATTTATTTTTCAATGCAGCTTTCTTTTAAACACCTTGAATGCTTCTCCTGTAAATAGGAGAAATTGGAAGATGTTTAAAAACTGTGTACTCACAACTGTAGTCTTAGTACAATCCTTTCAGATTATTAATAAAACATCTTAGGAAAGTGGCTATATACCACATTTTTTTTTTTTTCCCCTGACTCCTCCTGAACAATATAACAAATACATAATGGTGTATCTATGCAACCAGGTTACCCACAACTACGGTAACTGCTTGTGTGTGTGCCTTTGCCTTGCTGAACTTACTTCATTTTTTTGATTTTTCAGTTACTTCATATCATGATGGGATTGGAAATTTACAGTTGTGTAGTAAATCCGCATCTGAGTTTATTTTGTGGTTGCTTGTTGATGGAGCTGTACCATAAGGTACTGAGGTTTTCAGTGTTTGATGTTAGACAACTTCAGCTAGCTTGTCTGGCTTATTTTAATGTTAAAGATTATGCTGCTTTTAGGCTGTTCCTGGCCACTCTTAAACTATTTGGGGGGGGTAGACAGCAATTCTGAGGTCCTGTGTATTTGATTTTCTGAGTACGTTGCCTTGCCACGAGCCTTCGGGCTACAGAAGAATTTAAAAATAAAGGGAGCTGAGACTGGTTAGATTGCTGTAAGGTAAATATTAAATAAGCTTAATTATCTTACCGACTGTACACAGCCTGGTTCATAGTTCTGATCTTATCCCAGGCTTGCAAACCTCAGTACCAGGATAGATTTCCAGTATCATTTCTTTAAAGGGATTAACAAATAAACATAAAGGCTTGACTGCCATAATTAACATTACCTCTGTGGGACTATGATGCGAAGAGGTAGGCAGGCTTAGCTGATTTGGGGGAGAAACAGATGTCTGAAACAATGAATTTTTGCCCTGCTGACTTCACCCTGAGAATTGCTGTGTGTTTCAGCAGGGCCAGGATTTTGTACTGGCTGTTTCTGTGTATAGATCTCCTGCCCTCTCCTGGGGAAAAGGGTTTGTTTGTCTTTAGAAGCACTTGTGTGTGAGAGCTGGCATTCAGGAAGTTCTAACAGTTACGTTTTGAATGTATATATTTTTCTCAAGTCTTCTGGAAATGCTTAAAACTGAAAATTACTCTTAGAACAATATCTGAGTTTCATATCATTCCTCCATTCATGCTCTCCTCAAAACATTCGCTCTTTTCTGAACAACTCTGGCTTCTCACTCCTGCATTGCTAGTGTTTCTTGTAAGTTGACTGTATGTGTTTGTAAAAGTTCATTTCATGTTAAATAAACTGCATGTGCTTTTGTGTAACCTTATGACCAGATAATATTTCAATATTTATGCTTACGAGCAGGCACATCTAAAGTGAAACATAGCTGGAAATGTTGCAAGATGGTTTTGCTTGACTTTTTTTTTTTTTCTTCCCTTGGTTACTAAAACTGCTGGTGTATGGTAGCATTAGTCCTTGTTCATTTGAATTTCAAAACAGAAAGCCATGAAGAGCTTCAGATGAAAGGAGAGGCAAGGGAAGGAAAGGAAGAACAAGAACTTTTAACTTCCTTGATTGCAATGCGATAAAATGATCAAGTTGCCTTTGTGGAGATCCTCAGAGCCAAAAAATAGTGAAATTTTATTAAATGTAATCAGCAATTGTGTACAGAATTAAATTCTGAAGCTGGTGACATGTATAGAGAAGAGAATAATTTTTGTAGCTCTGGTAGAGTTCATTTTGAAAACTGCTTTATTTGTACGGGACGATTTGTAAATGTAACTGCAAGTGGTAAATAAAATTGTACAGACAACTTATTTCGGATGTGTTCCTAGGCTATATGGCTATTTGCTGGCGGGTCTCAGTACATGGATAAACAAGCAGATGTCAGGATGTCATCAGTATTTTCCTGTGAGAAGATAATCAGAAAATTCAATCTTTATGGAGACAAAAGAAGAAGAAAGTAAAGTAGGTACTATTGAGAAAGATTCAGGACAACAGTTTGGGGAGTAATTAAGATTAAGTATAAGAACATAAAATATAATCTATTTAAATTTTTTTTAAATGTTCAGTCTGGTATGGAGTGTATGCCTAAGAGGGTTTTCTGTCCTTACCACATAGAAGAAGGGGTCCTGTGGAAAACCGGCAGGAGATGGTGTGGTTTTGTTTGTCCTCCCCAGAGCTAAAGCCCTTCCCGTTGGGTTTCCCCTCCCGCTGGAGTTTGGGAACCGGCAGAGGGAGCCGCAGGCTTTGTTTTTGTGTAGGCCCTACAAAAATGGCCAGGTCTTTGCCATCTTACAACAAAGAGGACTTTCACAAGAGTCCTCACCAGCGGGTTTAAGGACCTGTCTCTCCTGTGGAACCTTTGTTCCTGGGCAATGTCAAATCCCGGTAGGTCGAGCCTGCGTCAGGGCTTTGATCCTGACCTGAAAGCTGCCCTGGTGCACAAAATACAACAGGGAGACAGGTTGCACAGGGCCATCGGGTAATTTGTGTCAACACCGAGCCATCTTCGCTGAATGCGCTTCAAAACGTTTCTTTGCTGTCTTTAGGCGTTAATTTGGGACTTGGAGATCTGCTGTTAGGAGAACGATAGTGAGTAACTTTGTGCTTAAAACTTGTTTTAAATTTTTTGATTTTTAGTGAAGTCCCCTTGGGTTACTTTCGCTGTTGTCATTCTGCTTTTGTCCTGTGATAATTCTTCTGTTTTATACAGGAGGAAACACAGACTGTGTACTGATGGAAAATGTATTTTAATAGAAAATTTCATTGTCTTACTAGAAGTGTTGCCCACGTTGAGATTTGATTTGATGAAATATTTACTTTAGTTTCAGGGTTCTCCCTGCCTGCATAGTGCATTGCATTTTTTGGCTTTAGCGTTAGCATTCATCGATTGCAAAGGCCTGGTTTGAGCTCACGGCAGCGTACAGCTCAGTACTTTCTTTTTTGTCAAACAATATTTTTTCAATGAAATCCCAAGAAGGGTCAGTGGCCTTACTTGTATCGGAAGCAGCCCTCTTCATTACCATTCAAATAAAGGAAAAGACCGACACGAACAATCTGTAACTAATTTCAAGTGCCAATCGAGCCTTTTTAACTTGGAAGAAGATGCAGCGAGGGAGCCTTGCAGGCTCTCACTTGAACCTTACTACTCTTAATAAAGAAAGTCATGCTGAATCAGCTGTGATATACAGTTCTGGATAGAAAATCCACGGGCTGTAGGATCCCAGCTTTTTCCAGTATTTTGGAAAACTTTCCAATGTCTTCCAACGGTGCTGGTTGCTGTGAGAAGTGGCCAGAACACAGATGATCTCACAGCAGACAGGCTGCTTTCAAGCTCTTACCTAGATAAGGGCGATTTGGGAGAATAAAGGTACTTACGTATCACATACTTCTGATCTAAAAGATGGTTTACTGTTATGACAGCCTGTGTGTATTGCTTAGGATATTCTAAACTTCTTAACTCTGAGTGAAACAATCTTTGTGCGATAGTCTAAAGC